ATGTATGTGTGTGTGTGTGTGTATATATATATATATATATATACACGCGGAGCGAATCATGTTCGCGCACGGAAGTTCGGCGAAAGGTATAACACGTCGCGTCTTTATCGTTAACCTTATTTCGGGTCGAGAGAGCCCGCGACGCAATTAACGGGATGCAACGAGTCGAATAAGGTGCGGGCAATGTGATCGGAGAGAGCCGGCCTGTCAATCTTCTTGCTCCATCCTTGGCGAAGTGGTGCATTAATGCACCAAGCCATTCGTGTGCGCACACTACCATACGATGATTCGCAATTATTTGCACCGATACCCAACGTTATGCCTTCTCCTCTTGTCGATGGTAATCCCGAAGCCATTTCGGACCGAACGGTTGAATGCTTTATTTTTATTATTATCGTACACTGTGCACGTTATGACGATCAACATAAGGCGACACATTTCGGAGCAATTACTGTAGTTACGTAACTTATAAAGAATTTGATTACTGGTTTGTTTTACACTGCATCGTTGCTTCCTTCTCGTAATTATAAAGCACTTTGTGTATATATTAAGAGGCGCATTATGAATTTGAGAAAACATGAAGCGAAGAGACGAGAAGGAGACAACTTCCGTTTGCCTATGTGTTATTTTAACGTCTGTGCTTACACTTGCGCTTGACGTTCGGATGTAAACGTGAACGCGAATTAGTTTATTATTTTAGTCTCAGACACCTGAGGAGAGAGAAAGAACTCTTCGGGGTTGCGTAGACCGAGAGACGTGTGTTCGCATATTGCGTTCGTATTAATATAGATGTTTATTGCAAGCACGATGCACATTCACATGAAGCGGGACAGGTTGTATTGTGCTTACACGTGCATATCACATTTAGCAATTCATAGAAATTGTTTCGAGAGCCTGTCTAGATAAGACCCGTTGACGGATGTTTAACATATATCTCTGTTTTTCGATTTGTCGTCTATTTGAATAGAGTTACAACGGTATAATAAATTGTTTAACGTCAAATACCTTCATATAATTCTTGTAGCACACAGACAAATTAAATTAAGATTTTACGAATCATATTGAAATAAAGATGTGGAAAACAGCAATAATTCTTTTACAAAAGTTTGGCCTTTTGCTTCGCGAAGGTAAAAAATTATCGAAATACATGATGCCTATATATCTTATGGATGTAACACATTTTTCACATTCTTTCATTGTTTTCACATTAAACATCGCTGTAAATAGTCTACTTTTGCGCGTCACGCGCACGTGGTGGCAGTTGCCGGATATTTACGAGACAATTCGATGTGAAAAACATCGTATGGTAGATAAATTCCCTCGCGTGTCTCTTGCCATTAATTAAATAACAACTTTTTAACGAGCGCTTTAACGATTAACCAGCTTTATCGCAGTCGGGCATTGAGAGTCGACTCGGTGATTAGAACGAGAATTATAACGGCGATTCTATAAATAGGCATATTACGTACATGTATATACATATTTATAATTATATATAATTAATATATAATTATATACATATATGTGTATAATTATAAATATATACGTGTAAATCCTCTCTATCAGTCAAAACGACTTAAAATTCGTCGACTTGCAATGAAGCGAACATGATGTCATCGGACGGCGATTAAATCCGCCATGTCATCGTGAGACGCTCTCGACATACGTATGACGAGTCATTAAGGATTCATGGGAATCAAAGCAACCTCGCCGTAAATATTGTTTATTGCATCTCGCAGGTCGTCGAATTAATTCATAAAATCATTAACGTGTTATCCATGTCATCCGTTTTTATGACTTTATTGATAATCATGATCTGTCCGAGACGTTAAACGTCTCAAATTGAGCATAGAATGTTATTAAAATCACAAAAATAGGATTATGAAGCAAAAATAAAATTTTCGTAACTTTATATAATCAAGTTATTTTCATTCAAGGCTGTTTTTCTTATTCATTTATTGTTTTTCGCACAATCCATGTACGTCGCACAATCCATGTTGATGGCCTTGGCCCGTTCGTGGATTTTGACAAATCGCTGTCTAATCACGGCGATTGGTGCGGAATGTACAATGAAAATTTGTCGTCGTCGTCGTCGTCGTCGTAAATCCACGTCTGCACGCATAGCTGTTCCTCCGCGGAGAATCGCGTTGCATCACGTTCGTCCGCGTTCGCGATAGGGAGTACTACGACTCTGTTGATTTATGAGTCAGTTTCGTAAGCATAATGACGAGGAGGATTAAGATTCCGCTTTTATGTGTCGGCGGATAACGGCGGATCGAAGATAATTATCACGCATAGCTTTTTTTCCTCTCGCCATGGGACAGACTCCTTCGAGATGCCGTCGTCGTTATAATTTAACATGCGAGCGGCCGGTAATAATACCGTAGCTGGAGAAATATCTATTCTTTTGTCATCATTTTCCTAGTTTTGAATCACAAGCCGCCTGACAAGAAAGATGACTGATAATGAAATGCTCCATTACGGGAATTTTTTTTTCCACGCTCGCGTTATGTATTCGCAATATTATCTACAATTAGTGCGAATTTTGTAAATAATATTTATCCACTTTTAGACACTTTTTTAGACATTAAATTTCAAAGTAAACGTTTAATTGACGTACGGTCTTAATAAATAATAAATTAAATTTGAGTAAAAAATTTTTTTTAGTTAAATTGTTCAATTCCATTACTTTAGTTAAACTAATAGCATATTGAGTAGCGACCTAGAATGATTAAAAATAACTCAAATCGGGTATAATTTAACATTAAGAATTTAATAGTGTATACAGTCTCTGCAAAAAGTGACTGAAATGGATTAAAAATTTGTACTTTTCGCATAAAAATAAATATTATATACATATAAAACAGTTCAATATTTATATTTAACAAGTTTGAACAAAAATTTTATTTTATTTTAATTATTAAAAACAACATTTATGAAAAACAGGTCTACTTCTTGATTATCGAAATAATTTTTATTTCAAATTCCAGATTCTAAATCGCTGTCAAACTTTTTTAAATATAAAAAAATCTGTTTTTTAAATAATTTTTTCATTTTATTAAGAAATACATGTAACAGTTTTAATTTTACGCATTAAGCTATTGCGAATGGTGGATATGTTTAAATATTTGGTAAAGTAATTAAATAATAATCGTTAATTTATCTAAAATCTCTTTACTGGATTCAACTTTTTAAATAAGTAGTGAAATCCGATCCAACACAGTTACCTCGACGCGTATAAATCGACAGATAAGTGTGGTGTACCTGATTCGATCAGTTTGGATTGACAGATCTATTCTAGTACGCTTGACGTAACAGATCTGATCTGTCCTGAATCTAAAAAAGGGTATCCTCTGATTTTTAAGGACATGGCTCGCGTCAGAGGAGAGGAGTGTAGGAAGGATGAAGAACACACACACACACACACACACACACACACACACACACACACACACACACACACAAAATATATATATGTGTGTACACACACACACACACACACACATACACACACACATACACACACACACACACACACATACACACACACACACACATACACACACACAGCAGGATCAGAGCGCGCACCTTCGTGTCCCCTTCCCTTGTAGCTATTTGCTTGTCAACTTGTCTATCCATCCATGAAGACCCGTCAGGATACTCGAGCTACATCGAGCTTATTCCCCTTATTCCTCGTGAACGGATTAATAATAGAATTGTTGTAAGCTCACCTGCCAATGTCGCCGGGTTAAAAGGTCCCTTTGATGTTCGCCCGCAGGATTTCGCGACGCAAATGAAGGCTCCCCCGCACGGTGCATCACGAAACGCTAATGAGACACGCGTGCGAATGTGAGAACAAGCAGTTAATAGATATCATTAAAACCGTTCATTGCAAATGCGTGAAAAAATATGTACGTCACGTTTAAATTTCAGGTCGATTATCGGCTGTACCTTGTCACTTGTAGTCGTTAAAGTCGCATTAACATTGTGAATATTTTATGTGTAAACAGATGTTTATCCCTAAATTTCACTTGATGAGAGATATTTTGTCCGTTCCATTAATATATTTAATTCTAAAAGCTGGCGAAATTTTCAATGTTACATTTAATATTTTTATTTATTTAAAAAATTTATATAATCATATAAGAATTTTGTACACATACATATTCGTGTATATACTATAATATATTACAAGCCTAATAAGTATTATATTTTATATAATAAAAATCTTACATTAGATTTTTCAAGATATTCGATAAAAAGAATCTTATAATTTAAATATGTTAATGTTAACTCGTATCCGTAATTTCTCTCCTGTACGTTTTCTATAGATACCTATATGTGTGCATGCCATTTAATTTCTCCGAGTCCTTACGGTGCATCATTAGCTCGGAACAGTTTGCAATCGCTTTTTTCCATTCCTCCTTACCGTATCGATGAGCTCTCCGGCGATATTCGTTAGTACGGGTGCAACTCCTAGATAGCTAATGCGAAATGCAAAAGGGAGTAGTTTCGCCGTGTGTACGGATGTGAGTGTGCGCCGACACGTGTAGACACGCGCCTAACGAGGACGCAAGAGCGTTCAAACAGGCTTCGCCCGCGTTCCCTGTGTATGCGTCTATGTGTGTGTGTGTGTGTATGTATGTGTGTGTACGCATGTGAAACACAGACGACTGTTGTATATACACGTTCGAGAAAAACACACGCGCGCGCACGTACACACACGTACGCATATACATGTCAATAGCACACCCCCGCGATCCAGTACCGCCTATTGAAGTCCGCGATGACGGGGCCCGTCTGTCAGCAGATCAAAGCTGAAGTAAGCTCTCTTTGTGATGCTTTGCCGGGTTGGTATTTAATTATGTATGAGATCGATATTCGGGCCTTCGGGGCTTGTTGTCCCTCTCTTTCGCTTAGCTTTTTCTCTCTCTCTCTCTCTCTTTCTCTCTCTCTCTCTCTCTCTTTCGCACGCGATCTCTCCTTTCCGCTTTTCACTACCCATCCGCTTTCCTCATCTTCCTTTCTCAGCTCGTTTTGGTCGCCAAACTCGAAGCTTCGGCCAAGCAAATCTATATCCTTAGTACGTCTTTATTATACTATGAAAGCTTGGAGAGAGAGAGGAGAGGGCATTCACTCTTTACAAGGATGTGTAGAATTCAGATCAGTACGACTGCCGATAGTTTTGATCGTATTGGCAAACCTGTACTTTGAAAAATGATATT